CCGGACCCCGCGGCCGCCCGACGGCCACGGTTACTGCATGATCCGTTCCGCTTTGATTTTCACGAGTGGTTTGTTTTGTTTTGTTTTGTTTTTTTTCCTGCTTCGACTGCTTGTTTTTTCCTTGTTGCATTTTTGTTGAGGAGTCTCGGCAAAAAGCAGCCCCAGGAAGATGCTGAGACTTGGCCTCTTTTTTACCGTCGAGGAGTGAGAGCTCTTCCCCGGGGGCAAAGCTCAGGCCTGGGCCAGGCGCGGCAGCGGGCACGGAGCCGTTCTGGGAGAGGGAGGCCCGCGGCCATCACATGATGCCGTTGGTGAGGTACTGGAAGCCGTCGTAGAGCTTGGTGGTGATGGAGCGCATGCTGCCGTCCACCATCTGCTCGATGAGCAGCTGCAGCTGCTCCTCCGTCATGTTCATGTGGAACCGCTCCTTCAGGTTGCGGATGGTGGACGAGCCGTGGAAACAGGGGAGCTGCGACCCTGCGGGGCGGGAGGAAGGGGGTTTGGCAGGGGCGCCTGGGGCGAGCGCAGCCCCCCAGGGCTCGGTGTCTCCATCCAGGGGGGCCGGTGGCTTCGCGCTGGCCCTGGAGCTGGTTTGTGGCACGGGGATTCCCCCGGCACGGCCAGGCGCTGTCAGGGTTAGCCAGGACCTGCTGCCACGGGGGACGCCGCTGCCGCAGGGGACACCACTGCCGCAAGGGACACCACTGCCGCAAGGGACACCGCCGCATTTAGGGCCTGTTCCCACGCTGAGGGAACGGCAACCCCCTTCCCTCGGGTGTGTTTTAGGCTCCCCCGGGACACAACGGTGCTCGGCCATCACCACAGGCAGCTTTCTGCTCCCTTCCCGCTCTGCGGCGCAGCCCGGGGACCCCCCCACCCTGCGAGAGGCAATTCTGGGCGATGCTGCGCAGGCCGGGCCCTCACGTGGCGCCCCTGGGGCCTCCGGCTCCCCTTACCTTGCTGCATGATCTCCACGATCTGCACAACTTTATCCATGTGCTTGCGGGCAGCGATGAGACCCTGCAGCATCAGCATCTTGTAGTAGTTGAACATGTCCCCGTCCAGCCCGCCCATCACCTGGAAGGGAGAGGGGGTGGGTGGAGGGCAGCGGATGGCGACGCTGCAGGACCCCCGCGGGCTCTGAGCAGAGGGACAGGAGGGGCACGACGGGGTTTTCTAGGAATTTCACGTCTCTGAGTGAAGCCCCGCTGCAAGCAGAGCCCCTCCAGCTCTCAGCTCATCAGCTGGGGCCCAGGAGCAGCTCGGCTGAGGCTGCAGCGCCGGCCGGGCCGAGAACCGCCCCGGGTGTCGGCCCCGCTGCCAAGGTGCGACTTGGCGAGATCACCCCTCGCCCCTCGCTGTCGCCTGCCCCGCTCACTCACATCCACAAATTCCGTGGTCAGTTTGAAGGCAGACGTCTCAAAGCCAAGATTCCTGGGGGAACTGGAGAGGATGAACCCAAAATCGATGTGGATTATGTGCCCATCCGCATCCAGCAGGATGTTGCCGTTGTGCCTGCGCGGGAGGGAAGAAGCTTTCCATTAAACTCTGCAAGCGCGCGCGGCCCCAGGAGCAGCGGCACTCGCTGCTCCCAGGATTTCCCTGGTGCAGCCGGGGACAAAGTGACAAATCCCGGCCGAAGACACAGCTACGGCGCGGGGACGCACCTGTCCTTGACCTGCAGTAGGTAGCACACCAGGCAGTACCCGGCACAGCTCTGCACGAAATTCCTCTGGGCCGTCAGGAAGGATTCGGTGTTGTAATTGCCATGTTCTTGCAGGAAATAATCCAGCAGCGAAAGCAGGGATTGCTTCTTGATTTGGTGGATGGACACAGCATTCACGACTGGCTCAATCATGCCGCTGTCGGCAGAGATGACAAGGATTTTGTATGGCTTGATCCAGAGCGGGACACGCTCCTGTTCCCAGATGGACTGTGGGAGAGAGCGAGAAAATCCCTCAGGATGCAGGGCGGCCCCGCATGGCTGCAGCCCCCGCGGGCAGCCCCTCTCCCGTCTCACCTGCAACTGCTTGAGGACCTGGAAGGCGAGCAGCTCCTGCCGCAGGTCGTCCCCGCACTTGACGATGACGGAGAGGAGGCGCCAGGAGGGCAGGTGGCCGTAGGGGGACCCTTCCCGGATCCTCCTGCAGGGAACGGGCACGGATGGGAGCGCGAGGAAAGGGAGGGTGGGCGGCGAGTCGGCCCCGAGGTCTCCGATCAGGGGCTCGGGGGCAAGGAAAGCCTCTGGAAATGCCCAAGTGGGACTAGGGCAGAATACGCTCCAGGGCCCAGGACTGCAAGAACCACACACCGAGCCCTCGCCAAACTAGGGTGCAAATCCTGCCTGAGCCACAAGCCGTCTCTGAGAACAGCAGAAGGGAATTAACCCTCCCCGAACCCTCTATCAGAGCAACGTGGACAAGACTGCCCCCGAGTTTATAGAGCCCGGAGGGCGCTCTCTCTTGCTCAAGGAGAAATCTGGGGGTTGGACATACAACTCTGAGAGCAGGAACACGAATGAGTTTAGTTTGGGACAGGCCAAACTCTTCTGATGTAGAGGATGCCTATAAATACCTGGTAAAGCCCCTCAAAGCCTAACCCAAGAGCAGCCAATCTGCCGTGGATTTTCTCCCTCCTCCGGCAGACCCACTGCTCCCTGCCCGCCGCCTCCCCGGGCCCCGAGTCCACACACCCACCCTGGGGACGAGCAGGGCCTAAAGTCAAGGCCATATTTACTGGGCAAATCGGGGAGCGACTTCCTTGGATTTCCGGGAGGTACAAAGTCCCTGCAGCGCTGAGGCCAGCCCAGCGCACGCGTGCCCCTTCCAGCCCTACCTGACTTTCTCCTGCCAGGGCTCCTTCAGGGCGACGGCGGAGGGGTCCTCAGGGTCCCTCTTGAAGGAGGTGGGGGTGTGCGCCAGCTGCTCTGAGAGCCGCCGCCTGCAAGGCAGAGCCGTTAAGCAGCAGAACCCATAGTTGAGGGAGAAAGCACCATCACCACGCGCACCCAGAGGCGCTTCGACCCAAAGGACTTTACAAAGCTCGTGGATTCACCCCAAACCCGGGCCACGTCCACCGCTTTGCCAGCAGGAAGATGCCAGCGGTGGAGCAGGGGAGGCTCTACCAGCCCAGGGCGTCTCTTACAGGCCTCTCCGTAGGGCTCTCGTAAACCTCCGCTGCCCAGAGTTTGCACAGCCCCTCCTTAACCCGTGCAGATGTTTCTTCTCTGGGAATCTAGCAGAGAACTTTCACACCCCACCCTTTTTACACCTGAGCTCCTAACCCACCCCGACAAAGCCACCGCCTGGGCTGCTCTGGCCATGCCAGCCTCACCTGATATCTCCAGCAGCGATGAACACCGGCTCCCTGCTCTCCTGGCTGGTGATGCTGTCCACAGAGAACTGGGAGATGTTGTCACAGCTGTTGGTGTGAATCTCTGGCAGCTGGGAGGGGAAAGGAGCAAGAGGCGGGATGCAGCGGCTACCAAAACGCTCGTCTGCGGCCCCAAAGGGATGCTCCTTCCCAGGCAGGAGCTGGGACGGCACCGGCGCCTGGACGGGCCTTCCCGTCCTGCGATGCTGCTGCGCCGGATCCCGGCAGCACCTCGCAGCGCCAGCAAGGCACACGCCCCGCCTGGCACCCCGGCCTCACCTCCACCTGCAGCTCCACGATATCGTCCACGGACCAAGCCTCGTCGTCGTTGTCGTAGTTGGGGACGGTGGTGAAGCTGCTGGTCCTCTGCTCGTGCGTGATCCCGCACTCGGGGAGGTTCTCGGCCGAGCGGGTGCTCCGGATGCGGTTCTCGGGGATCCGAGCGGGCACATTCGCTGTGTCGAAATTGTCACATTCAAGTACTTCAACGTAGATTAAATAGGGAGCCTGGGGGAAGCAAAACCAAGCGTCAGCAGGTCACGGTACGTGCCAGGCAGCTACAGGAGGCAGCCTGACGCGCTCTGCTCTTGCGGGGTGTATGCTTCTCCTTTTTGGGGGCAAAGCCGTGCTCTTCCGTAGATGTGGAACAGCGCCCAGGGCAGGGCTGGACCTCCCAGAGACGGCTACAGCGCGCGTTTCAGAGGACAGTCACTCTCAGGGGCGTTTCTCCCCCTCCCAGGTGCCTTGCACAGATCTCTCCCCCCATTGCTCCCAGCCCTGGAAGCGATAACGCAACCCTGGAGACCCAGGAGATGCCCCGAGCACATGCGCGAAGCATTTCTTTTGCTCGATGCCCAAACTGGGGCCGTGCCAAGGACAAAAATCTGCCTTTCGAGGCAAAACTCTTCTCCGGCCGCCCGTACCTTGTCCTTGGAGTTGAGGACGACTGCCTGGGTGTGGGGCACCCGCACCACGTGATGGTCGAAGCCAGCCGTAGCGACAGCTCCGAAATGAGCCGTTGGGTCTTCTGCTCTTTGGTCGGCAAGGTGGCCAGGCGCTTCCCGATGGCGATCAGGGATTTGATGAATTCTCTCTCGGGAGCAAGTCTGACAGGCTAAAAAGGGGTTAGGGAAGGAGGGTGGGGGGAGAGCGTTATAAAGGCAGCCCGTCGGTAAGACATCGCAGTTTTGCAATCAGGCAAAGAGCACCGGGATAAACTCCAGATAAAGAGGCTTTTCCCATCCCACCCTCTTCCCCGCTCTCGGATGATGCTCCTGTAACCGAGAGCCGGGCTCATCATCTGGAAGCAGAGCAGGGCAGGATCACAGCCCTTTTTCCCTCCTGCTGTGCTGTCCAGAAATCCTCCTCCCCAAACCTCCGGAGCGACATCCCCACCAGAAGCCCCCGGATCCCGCGGCGGCCGGGAGCCCGCAGCCAGCAGAGGGAGCGCGAATCGGCCTCATCCCCAGCTCGGCGCTGGGTTTTTTTCTTGTATCCTCACCCCGAAGTCTCGATCGTGCCTCAATCTGACCATTTAGCAAAGATCAAACCGCGATTCAGGAAGCCCCTTGGACCCAGGAGCCGCCCCGCAGCTTAAGCCGAGCTCTCTGCTCCACTTTTTCAAGCTTTTAAATCAGAACAACAAACGACTGCAGCTGATTTTGCCATTTAAGATGCAGAATTAAACTTGCAAAGTGTTCACCGTACAATCATGCTGGAAATGCACATGCAAAAAGCTACGGAGCGTGAGAAAAGGAAGCAAAGAAAAATGTTGGAGAGCCGGGAACGGCTGCACAGCAAAATAAAGGGATGGTAAAAAGAGGAGAAGGATCAGTCTGGTGGTTCCCTTTTGGGAAAGGGCAGGCTGGAAATCGTTTGTATCTGTAGTCCACGTCAAAAATCCTTCCTGTCCTTTCCTCCACTCCGCTCCCCTGCCCACCTTGCTAGCGAGCGCAGCCGCAGCATCCTCAGGGCAGGAGGAGGCATTTGCACGGCATCTAAGCCAGCGATATCGCTTTCACCTACCAGGCAGATGATAAATATTTAAAACCCCGCACCAGCTGATGCTCCGTCCCCCGACGGCCTGGAAAGCACCTGGTCCCGGCAGGACCCTGCTTTGCCTCGGCTCCTGCCACCCAGCCCACCCTGCGCCCCAGCGCTTCCTTGACCTCCAGGACCATTTTGCTCGATTGCATTTAATCCAATTTCTGCAAAAAGCGGAACGATATTCAAAGGATGCTCTGCTCCTCCCGATGCCTCTTCCATCGAACCCCGACGGCTGCGATGTCCCTGCTCCTCCGAGGACCTTCCGCTCTCTGGCTGAGGCAGGGGTCCAGGTTTGGCAGTTGATATTGTCACCAAAACAGCCCCGTACCCCCTTGCTCTGAGGTCTCTGTGCGCTACTTGTCTCAGCAGAATAATTTAATGAAAGAGCGGCTACGTGGGAATTTGGGATTGTGCCCAGGCGAGACGGTGCCCACGTGCAGGAGCAGACCGCAAGCAAAGTCCTCCTGGTTCAGACCTGTATCGATCTGTGTCTCACAAGCACAGGCAGTTTTTAAAGCCCTTCTTCTCCAGGGATCCCAAAGCATCTCCTGAAGCATCTTCTCCCCGTTTCACAGCGAGTGGAACAAAGCCGTGCCGACCCCGGGAGCGCCCTGCCGCCTCCGTGACCCGTTCTGCACCTCCAGTGTTCATGCTCCGGTTGAAAACCTTCAGGTCTCAGCTCCTCCAGCCAGAAACACGTGGCCGGGAAACGTCCTCCCCATCCCGTCCCACTCCAAAGGCATCCCACCAAGTGCTGCTCCGGTCTTCGGCATTATCGGGGGACTCAGCACGGGAAGTTTCGCATCCTGTTATAGAGAAGTAGCTTCGGAAAATGGCATCAGCTGAAGCGGGGCCGCCCCGGGCCGGAGCCATCGCAGGAAACGCCGCCTCCAGCCTGCCCGAAGAGCTGCAGAAAGCCGTCACGCTGAAGAGGGGCTGCGGCGAGCTGCTTTTGCCCTGGCTCATTAATATCACGGTCCCGAAGCCAAGCGAAGAGAGGAGGATGGGAGATGATCTTCCCGCATCTGACCACCCGCAGGATCCTTCTGGTGCTCTGAGCCAACATAAATATTGACTTTCTACCATTTACTTTCTACTACAGCAAAACATTTCATTGGCAGTGCTTTGAAAAAAAAATATTCCTGCTCTTAAATTAGGCAAGGCTTTGTGTTTCTGTTTTGGTAAGACACACTCCAGGAGCGTCCTTCTCCCTGCGTGGGTTCAAACCGCTTCCCAGGACGGGGCAGGGACGACAACACAGATCCGTTCCTGGCTACAGGACTGGCAGAGGAGGGAGACCCAGCTTCGGCCGACAGCACCCGAGCAGTGCCGGAGGCATCACCACGCAGCGAAGGGGCCAGGCTGGTCCAGCTCTGCAAGCCGTCACGCCTGGGTGAGGTTTAAGCATCTCAAAAACCCGGGGGGTTCATCTGGGATGCTTTCCAGCCTCAGCGGCCAAAGTGTCTTCTGCTGTGCTACCTACCTTCACCCTGACGTCCCACCTCTCCTCCGCTCAAACCACCACAATTTGTCGTTTCAGAGCTTTATACAGCAAAACCGTGGCCGCCCCCCACTTCTGCGGCCCTCGCTCCACGGGAGCGAGACCCACCTGACCTACTCAGAGCTGGAAACGACTCAGCGGCGCGGAGCGGAGCTGCTACCCGGTCCCTTTAGCTTAGCTGCCTGCCACGAGGATTTCGGCATCGGCGCTGATAACCGATGCCTGACGTGATTTATAAATGCCGTGACTGTTCGGCTCGGTGCAGGTGCCTGCAGCGGGTTTTCAAATTTGGCATAAATGCTTGCGAAGAGCCCCAGCTGCTGCCATAACCATCGGCCGTGGATAAACAACCTGGGTCTGCAAAGCCTGGAAGAAAAGGTCTCCTGCCCCAGGGGAGAGGAACGGGCCCTCGCTACCGCCCGGCCCCAGGTGACGGTGAGATGGGTGGCACGGCCACAGCCGGAGGGCTGCGAGGATGCTCCTGCGACGCCCTGGGACCGAGGAGCCTGCAAGCGCTCCACCGACGCCAAGCCTCAAAAAGCCACCGGAGGAAGAGACGTCGCTGCCTTTGCTTGGCTGGGAAGAGCAGGAGGGGTAAAAAAATAAAGCAACTTAACTAAATTTGGGAAGCAAACTGGGACTCAGAGCCCGGTGTCCTACCTCCCACCCAACTGCCAGCACCCACAGCTGCCTGAGCATCCGACCGTCCCTTGCACCTCTTAAAAACAGTGGAGTTGGAGGAGATTTATAAAAAGTAAAAGGAGAAGTCTGCATCGGGGTGCGCTCAGGGGTAAAAGCCTTGTGCCCTGTGTCTGTACGCGACCGCAGAGTCAACGCTGCTGCCAGCCTCCTGCCTGCACCGCGCCACGCGTAAGAGGTGTGAAAATCTTCCCTCTGAAGGCACAGAAGGACGAGAGCTGGGTCCGCGGCAAATAACTGTGCAGAGGCCAAAAAGGCCGAGTTCACCACACAAACCCCGTCCTGGAGGATGGGGGCTGCGCAAGGCACCGCTGCCCGGGTAAGTGGTTTTGATCATGGACTACACATTCAACGTGTGGAAGCCCTCCGGGAATCCCAGACGGAGAACACACACCCACCGGCAGGAGAATGACACAGATGAGGAAGATGCTATTGATTATAAAAAAAAATAATAATGAAAAAGGCTCATTTTGAAAGAAAAACGCTCTATTAGGGGAACGCGGGGTTTTGATTGAAAGACCAAAGTTGAACACACAGAAGGGGGAAAAATAATGATTCGTGGAAAAAGCAAATTAAATCCCATCTGGCAGAGAACTTTTAAGTAAAATTCAAGGAAACAGCATTTCCTCTTTCATCTGCGGACGCCGCCACGCAAAGGCCAGCGACTGCTCAGACCGAAATCGGCAGCATCAGCCAAGTCCCTCCCCTGCCTCTGCCCTTTGTTGGCGGTACGAGGGTTTCGCTCTCCCTCGCTGCCTTTTTTTGGGGGGGGAGGAAATGAGCACCCAGGGCACCCCCCAGCCCCTCGGGGCTTTCTGCTTTATTTTAGCCAAACCGGTGCAAGCAAATTTGCCCAAAGCTCTGTTTCCGACAGCGTTTTGCTGAACAAGCAGGAAACGCTCAGACGAAGCCGGCACCGCCGCAGCCCTGGCTGCTGCGGCACGAGAGGCGGCCGGCGCGGCGCCAGCGGCGGTGGGGGATGCTGGCTTTGCCCCCGCCGGGGGGGGTCAAGCGGTGCAGACTGGGGGGGACGGCTGGGGACCAGAGGCGGTTGCGGTGCGTTGCCGGGGGG